CTATTTTACTATAAATGCAAGTCTTTCATTGGTGGAGAGGTTGCAATGACGTCATTAACCAATCTTGGGTCGTTCAAATCCTGTATAATCGAAAACGCTATTAGTTTACACCGATTGTTTAGTACACGTACCAAATACTAAATCAGCTTTTTTGATTGGTGTAGATTTTACTCTAAACGATTTATACCTATTGGAGAAGCAGATTTAGTATTTGGTACGCGTACTAAACAATCGGTGTAAACTAAGTCAATGATGCTTTAGTAAATTTGCTCACTTTTATAATTTTCATTACATTGCATGATACACAATCAACTCCCTGAACCAAGTAAAGGCCATCACACACAAAATGACATAACTGCATATACATAGCATAAGACCGTCTCGACCAATGAACATCTAGTATAAAGGCGCCATATTGATTTACATAGCATTCTCATTGGTCGAGACGGTCTTATGCTGTGCATATGCAATTATGTCATTTTGTGTGTGATGGCCTTAATAGTCAGCTTTAGAGTGAGAGACGAGTATTATCCGCACCGTAATTGTTTTCTTAAGGGCCTATTCAGACAAACTTGCATAATTGCATAAACATAAGCATAAGGCCTGTTCTACAATACGTCGTATGTCGGCGTCGGATGTCGTTTGTCGTTTGTCGTACGTTGAACGTCGGATCTGAATACGATTTGTTATTCTACAATATAGCCGTAAGTCGGTGCAACAACAAATATAAAAATAAAAAGTAGAGTGATGAGAAATTATTTAAATCTATTATTAATTTTGTTACATATAACAAAAATTAGATTATGTTTAAGAAAAAGACGCAAAATAGCAAGAAGGTGGTGGGTAAAACCACAGATTTCAAGAAATATGAGACAAACTCATGATGCTCATCGAACATTGGCCGCGTTCAGCAGAACAACTGCTGAATTGTCGTCTAGTCAACACTTAACGTTGATTTGTTGGTTCTAAAAGTAAGAGCCAATCACGTTCGATTGTTACCAAGCGATTTGTTCTGCTGAACGCGCCCATTGTTTACATATTTTCGGACAAATGGGCTGCGTTCCGTAAAGCGCATATGCGCGCATCTATCTATAGTATACATAACGTATACTATAGATAGATGCGCGCATATGCGCTTTACGGAACGCAACCATGGTCATGAGGAGTTTTTTAAACTTACAAGGATGTCGGTGCAACAATTTGATCACTTACATGATCTCTTATATTATATTTGCATCCAGTCGTAAGGCCTATCGGGAGTCGGAAGCCGGAAAAGATGAGAGTTGACCATCTCTCGTTACGATAACGACAACCGACTCCCGACAGCTTCATGCGACAGCCGACAACCGAGTGCGCATGCGTCCGACATCCGACGCCGACATACGACGTATTGTAGAACAGGCCTAAGAAAATTGATTGATCCATTTTCTTATGCATTTGCTTATGGACCAATCAATTTCCTTATGTATATGTTTATGCAATTATGCAAGTGTGTCTAGATAGGCCCTGACTCTCGAGCTCAATCAGCAATATAGGAGTATTACATAAATTTATACAGCATACAGCATTTCTAGTAATTTACTAAATCGCTTGAATTGTTGCAACAAGTTAAATACAAGCTCATCTGATGCAGACTTTTCTATATAAGCGTGGCATAAGGGAGGGACAGAGAAAGGCAGAGAGATTGTTTTGTCTCTTTTCCTTGTAGGCTGATAGAAAGCCTACAAGTTTTTATATACATAGGGTGCATTCGTTTATGCAGTTACTGCCGCAGATGTCGTTCGTTTACTCCGCCTGCGAAAATAACTGCAGCGCAGTTTGTCGTTCGTTTACGCAGGGATGTATCTCATCTGCGCAGGTACTTCGGAGGTCCTGCTCTGGATGCTCTGCTTGCAGTACTGCGTAAACGAATACACCCATTGCGAATCTAGCTTAATTATCTGCATCCACATTGATTAATTAAAATGTGAAAATAGATTTTATTAAAATAAAAAATCAAAAAGGGGTAGAACAACTCCTCGAAATCGATCCCGCAAAAAGTAAAAGTAATCCAAGATAAGTATTATATAATGGAAAAATTTTTTAAAGTTTACGATATTCGTATTTACAATCAAATTAACCTAAAAATGCACACGTATTAAATGTAGATTGAAAATCTAAACACATTATAAAATTTTAAACTGTCTGAATTTTCTATAAACAAATTTTGTAATGTTTTGGGATTTGTTTTTGTAAATTTATCTCAGGTACAGGTTCTGCTGCAATAGTTCCTAACCATGTAATGATTTCGTCTACAGCTGATATAGAAAAAGGATCAGAGAACTCTCAATTTAAGAATGTTTTGATCCCGTCTTCATTATTTTCGCAAAATTTTGTATAGACACAACGTAATGCAACTTCGCCAATGCTTTTAAATCCATTCACGCAGCCATTCACGCAGGTGTGCGTTCGGTAAATTAGATAACGTGACTAGCAGATGATAAACGCAGTGGATGCGCTAACCGCTGCATAAACGAATGCACCCATATGTGTAGAGTATACATGAATATATTGATGTATAGAATTCAGTGACGAGAGTCTACAACAGAAAGAGACAAAACAATTTGCATGATTTTTTTGTCTGATCGCATCTTAAGCAGCACGGCGCTTCCCTATTTGTATAGAGTTTATTGAATTTATGTAAACATTCAAAATATAATAATATACATTTTTAACCAATTTTCTTTTATTTAATAAAAATTGCCAAATAACTTTTTTATTTCTTTGTGATCAAAGTGGTCTCTTCCCGTAAAGTCCAATTCATAAAAACCTCTGCATGTAACAGCATATATATAGGAACTATCAAATTCTAGAGAAGCTATAGCTGTAGACGGTTTTTCCACGATATACATCTAAAAATTTTTAAGAATTAATAATAATTCACTAATAAAGTACAATATACAAAAATTTGAAAATAGTACAAACTTGAATGGCAACACTCTGTCTCTGATCCCATAGAACACAATTACAATGCCCCGTCATAAAAGTGTACATATTATCTGATGAACAACAAAATAAATCTACATATTTAGAAGAATCCCATGTACGTACAAATTCGGATGTTCTGAAATCACAGTAGCAAATATAAAGAAATCACAGTAGCAAATATAAAGAAATTGAATGGCTAATTAATATCAACAATAAGATTTATTACCTCATATCCATTTTTTTAATAGATTTATTAAAACACATGAGAATAATGTGAGGATCCTCCCATTGTAGTTGCCGACAATAATCTTCACATTTTTTATCTATTACCTGATAACTAAAATTGCTTTATATTAGCATGATGTATATTTTATTCCAAATATACATTAACACCTATGTTTTGTCCAGCGAGAAAAAGATCCAAGATTAGAACGAAAACTCGTTTGTTTCGTTTAGGTCTCCCCTCACGGGACGCTTAGAAAACCCCCCATTCCACATAACTGTACTGCTTGTGCAGCTTGCCAATGCCAGCGGGTGGAGCAACGCTCTTCCCACTTTGACTGCTATGCTTCTATGCGCAGACTTGGTTTTTCTCTCGCAGGACAGAGTATACTCTATTGCCTTATATACGGACATAATGTTCGTATCATAATTCGTATCAGATTACGCATTAAAGATTGAAAATTAAAGATTGAAAATTTTACCAATGAAAACAAAAAAAGACAAAAGTTTTTTAAAGTTTTAACGACGAATCCTTCCACGATGAAAAAGAGAGAAAGATATATTTTTACTCTCTTTTATGCCCACGCTCTTCACTTATTATTGGGATAGAAAATCAGCAATCTATACTTTCTAAATATACAAACCAAAAAGTTTTTACGCTCAATTCGTAGGTATTGTACCGATTGTACACTCGGCCACAGAAATGCCTTAACACATGAACTTAGACGAGTGTGAATTTCACAAACAAATTCAAATGTGCCTTGACACTCGTTGACAAATTCATGTGTAAGGGCTTCTCCAGACAAACTTGCATGATTGGTCCATAAGCAAATGCATAAGGAAATAGACTAATCAATTTTTTTAAGTATATGTTTATGCGACTACGCAAGTTTGTCTGGGTAGGCCCTAAGACATTTCTGTGATTAATGTGTACCTACTACGCCAAACACAGTCAAAAGTTTCGAACTTGATTGTATGTCAAAAGACAGCAATACACGACATGTTGTTCTCTTTTGCGACAAGCGATTCAGTGCCCATTCCTGTATATATAGTTCAGTACTTACTAACAAGGAAAGTTCGATAACCCAAAAATTTAAAAAAATCTGAAACTTTGTTGAAATATAATACATATAAATCTAATCAAAAGCTATTTTTTATTTTAACTAAAAAATGATTCTAGGAGTGGAAACACTCTTCACAGAAAATCCGATTTTCCGTAGGGTATTTCCTCTCTAGAATTATTTTTTGCCAAAACAAGAAAT